ATGATTACAAATATGAAGACGATATATAAAAATGACAGCAATAAATGACAGGTCTTTATTGAGGAAAAGAGTAATGGAAAATTTCATTATGGTTTGCTCTACTGGGCTTTTATGCTGTAATATCAAAATGAGCTATTTTATAAAGTTGTTATAGATAGTCAAAATGTTCCCACTTAATTCAGTATTTTTTCAGATTATCAAAGCCCTTGACTTATTTCATGAAGTAACACTATGTAGTTTTTATTAAATCTGCATATATTTTCAGAAGGAATACAGATTTAGTACCTAGACAGTCCCAGGCACACTGGGGCCTTGGCTGGCACATTGAGTTTTATTTCTACGTAGTGATTCTCAAACTTCTCTTCCCACACAATGAGGAGACACAAAAATCTCTATCATTTAACAGTGGCGGCTCACTACAGCAGTGATTTCAAAGCACCCCCGCCAAAGACATCAGAATCTTGGAGGAGAGGTGAGGGGCTGTTGAAAAACCCCCAAGGGGTTGCGGCCTTCCCTCCCCATGGAGGAGCACTGCTCTCTGCTCCTGTAGCTCCGCCACCTTCCGTCTGGGGCAGCTCAACTCTGCCTTCTTCCCAGCGCACCATGCTGGCCAGCACGTGACTCTGCCTATCTCAAGTCCTCTGTTGTCTGACTGACTTTTTGGTCTTTTCTCCATTCTGTTTACGTATTGTACCCTTTTCCTTTCGCATACACACATCACGGTGTCCACTATCACTGTCTCCACTACAGGACAGCGAATTCAAACTATAGTGGTGGTTGCCTATGGCAGGGTTCGGCACCTTCTGCAAGAGGTCATGAGGAAGCTTTGCAGAGGGATGGAACTTCTATATCTTGACTGTGGCAGTGATTATATGGCTGTATAAATACAATTACCGAAATTCATCAAATTGTATGCTAAAAATGGGTAAATTTTATTGCATGTAAATTATATCTCAATAAAGCTAGGAAAAAAAAAACACTCCGACATTACCATGAAAAGAAAAAAAAGTGCAGGGGCAGGATATATTCTATTTGTAGCAATGTAATGGTGGTATGTTGTTATTTATTTATAATCTAAGGTTCATTCAAACAAGTTACAAGTTTAATTATTGTACATTCCACGTGTAGAATAATTTGTTGTCAGTACATCTTTTCCTTTTTGAATTAAAATACTGAAAAAAAATCATCAATATTACATGAGTTGCTAAGGTGGGTGTGACATTATTATTCACAACTTTATGGCACCTTCAGTGTAAAGGAGCATCACAGGTGCCCAGGGCTGGACAAGATGAACAAGACTTGAGTGCCAGGCTGAAAAATGATCTGTGGGCTAACAGGGAGGCACTACGAGTTTTGAACAGAAAAACGTTAAGACCAAAATAGTCACGTAAATGTTAGTAAGCTATAAAAATGAATGAAGTTCTGACACATGCTACAACACAGCGAAACCTTGCGAACATTAGCTAAGTGAAAGAAGCCAGACACAAATGGACAAATATTTTATGATTCCATTCAGATGAAATATCTAGAATAGGCAAATTCATAGAGACAGAAAGTAGATTAGAGGAGACCAGGGGCTGGGGTGGTGGAAATGGAGAGTTACTATTTAACAGGTACAGAGTTTCTGTTTGGGGTGATAAAGTTTTAGAAATAGATAATAGTGATGGTTGCATAATATTATGAATGTAATTAATGTGATTGAATTGGACACTTAAAAATCAGCTAAAATAGCACATTTTATGTTCCATATATTTTACCACAATAAAAAACAAACAAAAAGGCAGGCTGAAACAAGATATGCATGACTGAAAGCAGGACAAAGTTCTCTTGCAACCATATTAAAACCACTGTTATCAATAATTAAAAATGAAAAAACAAGCACAGTAAGCTGGGTGCCATGGTGCACACCTACAGTCCCAGCTATTCAGGAGGCTGAGGCAGGAGGATGGCTTGAGCCCAGGTGTTTGAGATCTGCCTGGGTAATATAGCAAGACCTTAAAAAGCTTCTAAAAAATAAAAAAACTCAAACACGATAAATGGTGATCTGAAGTGGCTCACCTGCAGTGCAAGACAACAGCTCCAGATTATTTCTCATGGTAACACTGGAGCAACCAGGCCATAGTCTTCCAGATATCTCACAGCACTTAAGGGTACCCAGTACCCAATAGATAGATGTTTCATAAATTTAATTTTAAAGCACTTACCACCATGCTTGCTTCATTTCCCAAAGCTATCCTGATTTTGCTGGGGTCTGCTTAAAAAGAGAGACATAGAGAAGGCAGAAAGAGAAAGCACTTAAAGACTCATAAAGTTCCTAACATGATCTGCATAAAACTTGACGGACAGGTGACGTTTTTAAAGTCAAAGAGCCAAAGCTCTTTGCTATCCTAAATAGGGATATCAAGCTGTAGTCACCCAGTAATATACCCGGCTGTTAAAAGAGGCTATTTCTGTTCTTTTATTCCTAATGTTAAAATCTGAAAGTTAAAAGACATCTCTATTCACTTATGGCAACCTGTTTAAGCACTAAGCGGTAATATACTCTGCAGACTTGAAGGCTGCTATCCTCCTCAGTGCATGCTAGTGGAGTCTGCTTTTCCTGACAGCTTTCACAGCAGGTGGAATAGGTATCCCCAACAAGTGAGCTGCTGATTCACTCACAGGGGACCAGCAGGAGGCAGCGGAGAACTCTGGCAACTGATCCCTTTGGCAGGGATGGCTCCTGCCTCATTTTTCTCTGGCAGAGCCTTGCAGTTCATGTCCCTTATTCACTAAACATTTTTAAAAATTGCTATTGAAAAACTATGATGACAGGCACTAAGAATACAAGAGTGAGCAAGTCAGACATGACCCCTGCACTTCACTGCTCTGGTCTCACTATCTATGGACTAAATTGGAGATGCCACCGGACACATGGTTCCAATACGGTGGCATTTCTCTAACTTGGGAGATTGGGTCTATTCCTCAATAAACTACTTCAGTCCTCTCTTTTTAGAAACTGTAAAACTACTTTTCCAAACTATCTTGAAACTTTTCTTAGTTCTTTTTCCTCTTGCCCAGCATTTTAAAACTAATTTCCCCGCTATGCTGGGATGTGAACAAAAGCTATAAAATATTAATAGTATCTAAAGTAAATTAATGCCAAAGCAAATTGGCAGAACAAAGAAAAGTGGCTATCTCTTAAGTAATGGTGAAAAGCTTGAATTATAAGACTGAAGGGGTTATATCTTTCCAAAAATAACAGTTAACAGTTAACTTTAAGAAAACAATAGAGTTTTCACAGTATTTCTTTTGTAGTATCTGAGTATAGCACTAAGATAAAGAGCACCAGACAATGGAGGTGTTGCACATGTCCCAACAGTGGGTGATTTTTACAGTTCTTAGCTCTTCTCTCTCATTCTGTTCATATCTACTATCTTTGCTGGATTTCTTCAGAAGGAAGTCATTGATGACAAATGAAAAGGAATAAAAATAGCTTTGAAAAAAGTCAGAGATGACAACTTCCAAAGACGCAATAAATTAAATTTGATATTTGCTCAGGATAGACTACAGCTATTATGTGGATGGTTCCCAACTTTTAAAAAAGCTCTGGCTTTTGTTTGTTTTTAATTAATAAAATTTATTTTTTTAGCACAGTTTTAGATTCACGGAAAAATGGATCAGAGAGTACAAAGATTCCCACATACCCCTGTCCCCCTGACACCACCTCCCCATCAACACACTGCACCATTACAATCAATGAGCCTACACAGACACATCACTATCACCCGAAGCCCACAGTTCACATTAGAAAAGGTTCTGTGTTTTTTTAAAGACTGATGGTTCTTCAGAAACCTGGGGATACATTTTTCTTTTAAGATCAGTGTTAGATTTTCATGGTTAGATTCCTAGGCCAGCCCACAAAAGCCATCTACCTGACCCACAACAAGCCAGAGTAAATATGGTACTAACACTATGCAGAGAACAATCTATCCACCATTAAAGTGTCCAAACTAGTCTTTTTTTGTATCCCTGT